TGCACATAAAATGTTTCACAATTTTGGTGTAACATGCTGCGCGCGCACCCTGCGCACCCTGAATTTCCAACACTGCTCAGGAGTATCTTTTAATTTTTCAACATTAATAACTTCTCCATGTAATTCAGGAAGTGAACGTGGATTTAATACAGCTTTGGCTATTCTTTCATTTAATCCCAATTTAAGCTTCACTTCTGATTCGGTTTTGTCTGATACCTTACCGAAGCTTAATCCCTTATGATCTGGCTTATATTGTTTTTGCCGATAGCACTTGAGTATAAAATAACCATTTTTTCGAATAAATCCGTAGAGTTGGTCTTTTTCATGTTTAACGTCACATATAGGACATTCTTTAGCCGATTGTGATTGAAAGTTAACAAACCCCTTCTCAGTTCTTCCAATTTCGAGCCATCCAAATTTCGCAATAACTAGATTAGCTCCTTTAACCATAGCATCTTCATCATCAATAGGTTTGAATTCCTCTTCTGTTGGTTTTTCTTCTGAAAAAGTCCGTGGCCAGATCACAGAATAATCGGATTTTGGTTGAACTAAATAGTCTTCTAGATTTTTGAATCCATTCTTAACTGATGAAATGGCTGGTCTTTTAACTCTACCTTCTTTTGCCGATCCAAGGAGCCGAAGACTAAAACGTGATTTGGGAAGGCCAACATCAATGAATTTGGAATAAGGTTCCCCAACTAATTCCATAACTTTTTCTGTAAAACCCTTAAGTTCTCTATAATCTATGAATCAGGCACGAGGATAAATAATATGCCAGCTACATTTTTCAGTATTTGATGAGCTCGCTAAGGCAAAAGAATTTAATAAAGGCATACAACCTGGTATTAGGTTTAATGCATCTGCACAAGCGACTAAAATTCGAGACATCAAATCTTCACGAGTAATTTTTTTACTATCTAGAGAAGAAAGTTCAGGATTAGATGGATCAGGCTTCTGCCTTGCATCAATATCAATTATTAAACGAAGAGGCTGATCTCCATCAATACATTCATGAGTGTTAGTTATTCCATAAACTTCGATAGGGTGATCAATCACCGTAAAACCTTTTTCTGCAACCCTAATTATATATTGAGAATGGATCTCTTCGGGTTGGTATGCCTCTAAAAGTGCTGTTTCGTTTCTATCAGCAGAGTTGGTATGGCCATTGGATTTAAGCCAGTATTTATAAAATGTATGTTCTCTATGACCAGGTTTATAATCAAGATCCGTTAAACCCGTAAAAAGCCTTTTTGCTTCATTATATTCGGCCGATTTTTGATTTAGGCACTGTTGTTGTAATGATTCGCATAACTGTTTTTTTGATTCACTAGATAAACTCATTTATTGATTTGTATATATGCGTTGTTTGATCTGACAAAAAGTATATGTAGTATTATTTTGAAACTATATTAATCGATAGATAAATCTTTAAAATAAAATTAA